CTCCCTCGCTCCCTCCCTCCCTCCCTCCCTCCCTCCTTCCCTCCCTCCTTCCGCAGGCGCGTGACGACTACGTCTCTCGGCTCAACGGGATCTATGCCAAGAACCTGGCTGCCTCAGAAGTCGCTCTGTTGGAAGGTGCCGCCTCCTTTTCAGGCCCCAAAAGCTTGCGGATCGGATCGAAGGAGTACACAGCGGAGCACATCCTGATTGCCGTCGGGGGGCAGCCGCGGATGCTCGACATCCCCGGAGCGCAGGAGCATGCGATTACCAGCGACGGCTTCTTCGAGCTCGCCGAGCAGCCGAAGCGGGTGGGGGTGGTGGGGGGTGGCTACATCGCCGTGGAGTTGGCCGGTGTCCTCCATGAGCTTGGGAGCCAGACGACCATCATTTGCCGCGGGGACGGCGTCCTCCGGGGCTTCGACGAGCTGATCTCCACCACGCTGGTGGAGGAGATGAAGAAAGCGGGGATGGCCTTCAAACACGACGCCACCCCCAAGGCGATCCGGAAGGAGGCGGAAGGCTTGATCGTGGAGCTGGAGGAGGGGGGCACAGTGGGTCCCTTTGATACGGTCCTACTCGCCACGGGGCGGGTCACCGCCATCGATTCCTTGGGCTTGGCAGAGGCGGGGGTGGAGACGGACAAGCGGGGAAACGTGCTGGTGGATGAATACCAGAACACGAACGTGGGGGGGGTATACGCCCTGGGGGACGTGTGCGGGCGCGTGCAATTGACGCCCATGGCCATCGCAGCCGGACGTCGACTGGCTGATCGGCTTTTCGGTTCCCTCCCTGAGGCGAAGGCGGACTACGACGATGTGCCCACGGTGGTCTTCTCGCACCCGCCCATCGGTACCGTGGGCCTGACGGAGGCGCAGGCCAAGGAGGAGTACGGGGAAGGAAACGTGCGGGTATACAGCAGCAAGTTTGTGAACCTCTTCTACGGCCCCTGGCGCCTGGCCCCGGAGGAGAAACCCAAGACCGCGATGAAGATGGTGTGCGTGGGGGAGGAGGAGCGGGTAGTGGGCCTTCATGTGATCGGGATGGGTGCGGACGAGATGCTACAGGGCTTTGCCGTGGCCGTCAAAATGGGGGCTACCAAGGCAGATTTCGACGCCTGCGTCGCCTTGCACCCCACAGCCGCGGAGGAGCTGGTCACCCTGAGCCCGTGGGGCCTGAGGGGGAAGAGAAGTCGATAGAGAGGTTGTGGAGGACGGCTGCGTGCATAAGATGAGAGTGGAACGGGAAGTGAGATGGGGCCACTAGGTGGCATCTAGCCGTCGGGTTGACTTGAAAGAAAAAAACTTTGATGAGGGCTTCGGATCGTATCGGTCGTGCTGCACGTTGTTTGCTTTCTTAACGGGAACATGTTTCCTTAGAAGGGCCACCACGGGGAGACGCATCGATGACGAACGAAGCATGGACAAAGCAATGGCGCGTGCGCAAAGCGGAGATCGCATGGTGCGCTGTTCTTCTCTTTCAAATGTAGCACCGATACATGTCCTACTGATAAGGCCAAGGCCTCTCCTATCTCTGAGCAGCTTCCTTTCCTACTCCCTTGCTTATTTTCGTTGAGCAAACGCGGTCATGTGTCCTCGCTCCCTCGCTTTTCCTCCGACCTGTCCGTCTTTGCTGACAATATTCTTTTGAGGTGTGCGCTAAGAGCAGCTACACGCTGGTGTTTTTCCGCGGGGGGGGAGCCAGGGCTCGATACTCCGCCTACAACAACCCATGGCCCGGCCGCCACCCTCGACCCCATACCGCGCAGTGGATCGAACGTGTATGGCGAGGGGCACGACGGCTGCCCCCTGGTCGTCAGTTTCCTCATCCTTATCCCTCCTAAATGTTCAAATACCATCAAGGCTTTATGTGACACTGTGGAGCCTAGAATCTTTCTATTGCTGCTTTCGCTCCCCTTACATCTCCCCTTCCATTCTCTCGGCCTGCCCGAATTCGCGTCCCCCTTTCCATCATCCATGTGCACTTCAACTAAATTTTCAACATCCATCAGCCCCCCTCAACCAAGCCATCGGCGTCATGGTTGCTGCGGGGCCGCCGCGGTAATGAAACCCACCAGCTCGACAAAGAGCTCACTCTTGAGGTCCTGGACCACATACTGCAGCACTTCCTGACGCTCCTCCGCTGCCGCCGCCTTTGCGGCCGCCTCTGCAAGGGACGTGGGGGTGGATTTCGTGGCTGTGGGGGTGGCCGCCCCTGCGGCCTCCATGCAGGACGGGTCCGAGGAAGACGTGGAGGAGTGGGCCAAGGCGAAAGGATGGCAATTCGACCGTTTCCTCTTGCTGCCCCGTGTCCGAGTGCCGGCCCGACCCGGATCCATCCCTCCCCCACGTACGAACGCCTCTTGATCCTCCTCGCCCGCGCTTGATACGGAGGAGGAGGAAGAGGAGAAGGAAGAGGAGGAGGTGGCGGCAACGAAGCAGGGATTGGTGGAAGACGGACAGGGAGGGGAAACGGCATTGTCACGGGAAACAGCCGCGTGAGGATCCTCACGCATCCTCTTCCGGGCGCTGCTCCTGCGACCATCCAGGTGCTTGCAGTCGCAGCTTGCACCTTCCAACCCCGCTTCCGAGAGTTCCTCGGCCGGAGAAAAAGGAGAAGGACACCTGTATCCATGCGCTTCCTCCCTATGCTCCGATCCAAGCTCGCCCTTCACCTCCTGGTTCAAGACCCGCGGGGACGGGAATTTCTCCCCCAGTTCTGCCCGGATCCGAAGATAATTCGGCGTCAATTGTTGACGGCGCCGCTGGAAGCACGCACGCGTCCCTGCCCGGGGGAGGCTGGCGAGGGTCGCCGTGTCGTCAAACAGCCGACGCGCTTGGTAAAGCCAGTAGGCCCGCTCCGTCTCCTCCAAGAGTAGGGCACAGTCGTCGTAGCCTCGGAGACGTGCCACGTGCAAGGCGGTGTACCCGTCGCAATCCGCCTGGAGGAAATCCGCTCCACGACTCAACAACAGACGGACCATCGACGCCCGCCCATGGCCAGCCGCGAACCAAAGACCCGAGCATCCGTCCTTGTTCTGCTCGTCCAACAAACGCCGGACTTCGTCGTGCGGTGCTACGGGAACGCCGTCCCCTTCCGAACCGCGGGCGGCATGGTCAAGGATGAGGCGGGCCACGGGTAGGTGTCCTGTCCACGCGGCCGCCATGAGGGAGGTTGAGCCCCCCTCCTTGCGCACACTGGGCTTGGCGCCGCGTGAGAGAAGCAAAGCGGCCGTTTCCACATGACCCCCGCAGCAGGAAAACCAGAGCGGCGTCCGCCCTTCCAAATTGACCGCGTTTGGGTCCGCCCCCCTGTCCAGCAATAACGCAGCAACTGACGTACGGCCGTGCCACGCGGCGAGGATAAGAAGGGTGTGGTGGTGGGCTGGATCGCTCCGTGCATGGACCAGCTCTGGATGTTCGTCCAGCAGGGAGGCCAGCTCTTCGACACGTCCTTGCTTGGCGGCCGAGAAAAGCGCGCCGACACTGTGCTCATCCATCTAGGGTGGAGGACGAGACTTGAGGTTTGCGGAAGCCCTCCCACTTATGTGAGGCTTACAGTGCGGTGTCGGCGGCTGAGGGTGTCCGCGTCAACCGGTTTCGACAGAGGAGTGCTCTTAAATGGAGTCGTTTGCGTGCAAAATTATTTAGCCGCTGACGACCTTCGATGGCGGAAAACAGGATCTTGTGGAGCCCGGCACAAATAACGGGTCGCAAAGAATGCCTGCCCTGCAACGATCACGCAATAATTGCAGTCTTGCTGTTGCTGGCTATGCCGCTCTTTCGATGGAAACCGAACTGAGACGCGCGGCCCGTGCGAAGCACAAGGTTTCGACGTAACACGACGCGCGTCGGAGCACCTCTCTCCCTTCCCGCGTGATTTCTGAGGCGTACGGCGTCTCGACGCTGCCTAGCTCACCACGCCACCACGCCAAACACGCCTATATGTGGGCATAAGAGGGAAAATAAAGGTGAGAATGTAGCACGTCCTAGCCCAGTGTACTGTTTTCCTTGGATGCCTCCTGGTGGCCCCCATCATTTTCCGACGTAAGCTGTCCGCATCGCTTCTTCGCCGTGGCAGTGGAGGGTAAGTCACGAAACACATCCTGCAGATCCAACAAAACCCCATCCCCCACCGAACACGCACAAACAACGGGTGGAAGTATCGGTGCCATCCAGCACACTGAAAAAAAATCGACTTCCCGGTTGCCATTGTGTCGCTTGCCCGGGGGGGTCAAAATTTTGAAATTCCCACGCTTCTTTTGTGGGCGCTAGGGGCCTGCTATGCCGTCGGCAAACCACCCGTACACATGGCAGTCACATTTCACCGCGCCCGCCTACCGGGGCGTGGCCCCGGGGACAATATTTGTTGGACGCTGCTCGCGTGCCGTGGCGAGCGTGGTGCCATGGGTGGGGAGGAGGGGGGGCGTGGGGCAGGCATTTCTGGTGTTTTCTTTGGCTTGAGACGGGGAAGAAAGGGGCAGAAGACACGCTTCAGAGAGCGGAGGAGGATACCTTCATATCTTACATTTCTCTATTCTCCCCGTTGTACCTGCACACAGGCACATCCCTTGAGTGGAGCCAGACGTGCAGCCTCGTCATCGAACACGTCGAGGTCGAGAACCCCTGCCAATTTTGGGGCTCCCCCGATTGGCTACTTCTTTTCGACGTCTCTTTTCTTCTTTTCCCCTCAGTGAAGACGCCTTCTGTGGTTCCAAGTTTGGACAACTATGGGAACTCCAGGCAAGCTTATTGGCTCCGTTATCAGCCTTGTTTCGAACAAGGATATTCGGTACGAAGGTGTCCTGTACGCAATTGACCAAGAAAAATCCAGCGTGACGCTTCAGTCCGTGAAGTGCTTCGGAACTGAAGGCCGCACGGGCGCAGGACAAGAATACCTCCCCGACGATAAAGTGTACGATTACATCCTGTTCGAGGCTTCGGATATCAAAGATTTGCACGTGCATGAAGCAGCCTCCGCTCCGGCCCCTGCCCCAAGTCCCGCCAAGGACGTGCCGTCATCGACTCCGGCGCCGACACAGCAACCGTCGCAGCAGCAACAACCCTTGACAAAGTCGGCTCCCCCCCAGCGACAACAGCAGCAGCAAGCCCGCCCGGCGGCAGGAGGGCGGGGCGGCGCCTCGAGAGGGGGACGAGGAAGCTACGGGGGGGGCCGTGGGGGGGTGCGAGGT